TGCTGAGCAAATAGCTGCAAGCTCTTCTAGAAGTAACTAAGCAGCTTGCTTCAGGTTAAAAATGAAGCACAGAAAAAGAGGGGAAAATCACACATCTCCAAGAATAGCATTTGTTCTAGTTTCAAAAGGAGCAACCACATGACCTTTTACTAGAATGGAGCATGAACCAGATAGATAATAGAGTCGTGTGAGAGAACTGGTTGATTACAGGACCAAAGAAAAGCAAATTTATTACCAGGCATACAAAGCCTCAGCAACAGCTGCAGAAAATATTATGAACCCAGATAGATAGATAGATAGATAGAGGATTATAGTCTAATAGTAACACAGTAAGTTGGATGAGTAATGCTTATCCATTGCAAGAGAATTCTGATTTTGAATGATGTGATTGTTTTACTGTCAAGAAACAGCTTTATCAAATAATCAGGCAACAGGACACTAATATCAGTCTGCACTTAAAGCACTTGTCCAGATCAGATACAACTTCCAGAGTGTGCTTTTCTCCTGTTAGGAGTCTTAGCTGCTGAGCTGTCAAGTTTGAAGGCAAAAACCATCATCTTAACTCATTGAAATTGCAACTGATATTGGAAAGATGCACCCTTATTCAGTCATATAGGCAGTCATGTTCTGTCTGTCTGATGTCTTTGCAGCTGACTAAATCTATATTTATTAATCTTAAATGATTAATGTGAGTTTATGCCAGGCAGAAGTTGTGCTGAACTGAACATCTGTTTTGGTGATCTGAATGATGTGGTGGTTTTTAATTGAAATGCATTATGTGGATTTCACCTGATGCCATTATTCTAGGTCCATGGTTTTGTCCTCTGAACTAATGTGTGAGGTCTTTAAAAAGAAATAAAATGCATCAAAGCCCATCATTCTTAATTTATAAGTGTTTGATCCTTGCTAGCTGGTTCCAGGAGTACTGATCTTGCTTAATGTCCTAGCTGAAGAGACTGTTGTGTCAAAACTGCAACATTCAGTTACAAAAATGTCATTTTGATTACCCTGCTACTTATTGTTATCAGTCAAATATTATTAGAATCCAAGCAGTTACGTCAAATAAACAAGACATGATTAAGCCAAAGGGCTTCAAGCATGTCAGAGAGTTAAAAGCTTCTAAAAGCTTGTAACTTCTAATATTCTTGATTCTTCAGATGTGGAAACAACTTCTGTGCAACACACCGCTATGCAGAGACTCACACCTGCACCTACGACTATAAGAGTGCGGGGCGAAGGTATTTGCAGGAGACCAATCCCGTCGTTAGTGCACCAAAGCTTCCCAAAATCTAACGTGGTTGTTCTGCATGTGGCCGTTCTGCCATTGAAGAATTGTATTACACTGAGAGAAGCACTTGCTTAAACTGCATAATGTTGCCATGCTCCATATTTAAAGATTTGCCAAGTAACAAAAGCACATGAGGATGCATCCTGTCGAAGAATAATGTGAACACTACTGCAGTTAAAACTTTTCTTCTTTAGTGAATGAAAAGTTAAAGATTAGTTTTTAAAAACTTACACTATGATTTAACTGTTACTGCACGTCTTGTGTCGTGTTTTATATTTGGAAAAGCTATTTCACTAGACAAGTCTTTAAAAGATGCACTTTACTAACTTTATTTACTGTATAACCAGACTTGAGGGGGTGTTGTAATGAGGGTGTCATGTAATGTCTTCTGTACTCTTGCGTTTTTTGTTCATTGTGTGATATCTTCTAAGTTATTTCACTAGAAAGATCCTCCTCCCTCCCCTCCCTTTCTTCAAACAGCTTATTTTGAGATTTTTAAGGGGGTCGTAGTGTGTTCTGCCCCTCTGTTCCATTCAGATTGGTATTCATGCACTGTGTATCCATTCTGAAAATTATATATCATGTTAATCACATTTTCTTAAAATAATACTGGTTATATGACAACTTTGTTTTTAAATAGAAAATTGCCCCTTTGTTGCCATTAAATATAAGGAACAACTTATTTTAAGTTTTTTTGTAATCCTAGATTTTTTTAAGACTTCACAATTTGGTTTGTTAAGATGTTGAATGCTGTTACTGGAAGAAATTCTAATAAATATTAAATTTTATTCTGGTTTATGCTCTTATAAATGCACAAAACTTTTCCTATCTTAACAGCATGCTCCTAAATTAAAAGCTGGGCTTTGTTATAGGGGGGAGGGGATATTTTTAATTTTTATTTTTTTTTCAGAAGTACTGGCTCATATTTTTTTTGGGAAAATTCCCACCAACTTCATTAAAGCACACAGTGCTGGTCACACTATTCCTAAATAAACTTCCTGAACTCTTACAGATGTACTAGTGAAGGGAAGATGGGTGTTCAACAAATGGCATATAATAACCTGCAGCCTTTCTCCCCTCCAGCTGATACTGTACAAAGGTAGTTCAGTAATTGCATGATAAACTTCTAATGAGAATGCAGCTACTGCAGAAAGTGATGCTGGAGGAATATACCTACTGAAAGTCTTTCCTCTCATTCCCTTAATGTGTCTGAAATCTTTTTATAAGCTTATGTTGCTTGATGTGTTCTAGTATAAACAGATTAATAAAAAACCTACACCAAACCACCAGAACAAAAGAAACCCCTCCACATTGCATCTAGACAATTGAATGTCGTGATCCTTTTTCTTGCCAGAGTACTCAACTACTTAGTTGGATGTGGTATTAAAATTATCTAGGCTGCATTCCAGTCAAACAGAAGCAGCTGATGAGCATGGCAATCAAAAGTTGGGCCAAAAAAAGGAAGAGGATCAGTGTAAGGGAGAGAAGTAGCTCAAAGAATTCTCATCCTTGAAGGAAATCCATTTCATGTAGTCTACCTGCAACTTCTTAAACCTTCTGGAGTTTTCGGAGATGACCTTGGAAAAAAAATTCAAAATCATACTTCTGGGCAGTGATAAGGTAAAAAGGTAGTTTTGTGTGTGTGCGCGACCTCTAGGCTTATTCTTACTTGACAGAGTTGCACCTAGTATAAGAATATGTCATTACTGAGCAGTGCTAGATACTGTGAACATGCCTGTAGTTTTTATTTCATCTCCAGTATGGGACAATGTTAGATGCCGAAGGAAAAGAACTAAGGAACAGGGCAAACATACTAGTGATTTCCCAACAATTACTTATTTGCAGTTCAGCAACTTTCTTAAGACAGAGGTATTGGCCTTTTTGCAGGTGCAGTAGAGATTTCATAAGTAGTGAAATTAAAATACTATCAGCTGTCATCACTTAATCTGATTTTGCATAAGTATAATTGTCAAGAAATTATTTTGCAGTGAATTAGAATGCCCATACTCAAATTTTAGTAAGTACTTAAATGAGGTCTGTGGCAGGAAGTCTGAGTCAAATCTCGATCGTAACTCTCACTTTTCTGATTATGCATAATGAAGTGCACAATGATACTTTTCAGAAAATGCAATGTAGTAATACTCTAATTTCCATGTGTGTAGCTTCTCATAATTTTTATTCTACCTTATTTTGATTATACCTAATATGGACATTTCTTGTGCGGAATTCTTCTGGTTTTGTTCTCATTTCCACTGCTGTGTTACAGGCACTCTTATTTTCAATGAGTAGTACAACCCTAAGAGCACTTACATTTGTAATTAACTGCTTTAGTTGCTAATTTATATGCTGTCAGGTTTTACCAAATCCTGTGTTAGACTGTGCTATGGATTAATTACTGTTTACTGTGTAAACTTACTTAAATGGTTTGGTTTTCTGAGTATTAGTCAGTGCACTGTGGTGCTATGCATCTGCTGTAGAGAAATGTTTAGCTTTTGTGTATTTGTTCGTGTAATTAGATTGTATCATAAAGTGTTTATGTAATGGCAGTTTAACAATGACTTTGGTGTGTGCTTCTCTACCTTCCTGTCAAATATTTTTTGCATGCTTCTTTTATGCTTGAGGACCTGAGAGGCATAACCAGGGTAGTCTCTTGTTGAATGACCTCTGGGATTCTTGTGTCAAAATGATAAGTGCCACAGAGGTGTCAGAAATGTTTTTTGATCTTGAACAAAATATTTCCTTTCTCTGAAACCTCTAAAAGACCATGGTGATAAAAATCTGTCTGCATGCAATTCCCATCTCTATTCAGTTTGCAGTCCCCTGGGATGTAATTGTACTGATGCCTTCTGGTGCCTTTCGCTAACTATCTTCAGTTGTAGACAAGGCTAGAATTTTTAATGGTTTGTATTACAAAACCAAAGTCTTTCTAGCTTTTTTTACATATCATTAATTAAACACTTTGGTTTCTTTTCAAGTACTTCCAACTTTTATAATGGGGCACCGTCTTCTGGGTGTAAACTGGGTTTGGAGTTGCTTGTGTCTGTAAAGAGTTGCTTCCACCTGCGGCTTTTGTGTTGGGTCGTGTTTCTCCAATTTTTACGTAAATCAGGTTCATCTTGAAATGCATGTGACGCTTTCTCTGGTATCTATGTTAGCACTGAGCCACAGTTCCTCACATGAGGACCTTCATCTAACTAAGAAAGCCATGTGAAGGTATGGGACAGTTGTGTGAGCCTGTACTGCTTCTGATTACTGTAGTTCTTACCCTGATTTTAGTTTGGGGTAGTGTCCTGGTTTTGGCAGCGATAGAGTTAATTTTCTTTACAGTAACTGATGTAGTGCTGTGTTTTGGATTTAGGGTGAGAATAACATTGATAACGCATTGATGTTCTTAGTTGTTGCTAAGCAGTCAAGGACTTTTCAGCTTCTCATACTGGCCTGCCAACGAGAAGGGGGGGGGGTGCCCAAGAAGGTGGGAGGGGACACAGCCAGGACAGCTGAGCCAAACTGGCCAAAGGGATATTCCATACTATATGATGTCATGCTCAGTATATAACTGGGAAGTTGGCCGGGAGGCGGCACTGCTCGAGAACTTGGCTGAGCATTGTTTTCAGGTGGTGAGCAACTGTGGTGTGCATCACTTGTTTTGTACATTATTATTGTTATTATTACTACTCTCTTCCTTCTCTGTTCTATTAAACTGTCTTTATCTCAGCCCACAAGCTTTACCTTTATTTTTCTTTTCGATTCTCTCTCCCATCCCAGTGAGGGAGGGAGCGAACAGCTGTGTGGTTGTTTTAGCTGTTGGCTGTGTTAAACCATGACAGGTAGTTTCGCAATGTTTGTAATGGTTGGAGCATTGGGTGGGAAACAATGAAAAAAAGTGATTTCCTTCCTGTAGTTATTGTCCCATTTAAAGATTTTTGTCTAAAAAAAAATCAGAAGATGCGCTCAATAGAAAGATGAGCTTAGTCCCGTTTCTTGTGAAGTAGGTGTGGTTAGAGCCATTGGGATACTGTGGGTCGTAACGCCTGGTTTTTAATATGTAGAACTTTAATTATTCACTTTCTCAGCAGAAGTTTGCTAAAATGATCTCCTGTTCTCTTTGGCTGGTTTCAATTCCTAGTTTATATTTGATGTTTCTAAGGCTACTTATGTGTACCATTAAATGTTACAAGCATATCTGTGCACAGGTAAAGGGACATTCCTTTTCACAATATTAGTTTTTATC